AGCATTTTATATAGCCCAACTAACCTCAACATATCAGCCCATACACATTCGACACACCCTTAGGCATCTTAGAGATACACACTGGTTCTCATGTTCGGTAAGGAAGTAAATGTAGAGTTTGATGCCCCTACAGAAAAGAGTTAAAGAGGCTTACATATCTATCACTTCCTTCTAGTCGCACCTAACATTCATAAGTAAATGATTAGTTCTCCATCTAAGAAAATTAATAAAATATAGTTCCATTTCTTTTCCTGTCCTATTCCCTTGATGGTTATAAACTATGTTGCTCGGACTCTTCAAAAATGCCAACGGGTGCGTGTCGGATTCGCCAAAAGTAGTGTATTTTTGAAGAATCCGAGACGGGTGCGGCATCAAAAGTGAAGAGTCCGCGCAACTAAGGTTATAAACATGGTTCTAATGTATCTCCTAAACAACAAATGACCACTGAAAGTTAAGCTCTTAAGTATAGTATTTTTTTGGATCAGGTAAACAATTTCATTTTGTAAATCAGAAGGCCAAAGTATTTTGTAAACAAGGAGTACACTGAAAAGTAAACAATCAAGATCTTAAGTATAGTTATATGCTAGATCAAAGAAAGTTCTCAAATAAGGGGAGCCTGTGTGACTCAAAAACTATAACAACATGACCCTTTAACTATTAATCCATGATAAATCATACCACATAATAAAAGGTTAAAGACAAAGATAAACACCTAGTAATTAATTCTTTCAAAAAGCTTTACAGCAGTGTTATAATATGGCATCTGCAACATGTAATCCACCAGTATCCGCTTCAAACGGGTGTTATTCCAGCCTGCTCTGCATCTTGTCACTTACAGATTGTTTGACTCCCCTCTTCCGACTGATTGTTCTAGACCAAAAGATGGCAGTAAATCGACACTTAAAGAAAAGGTGTTCAATTGTGTCAAGTTGCTGCTACATAGCATGACACACAATCAGATCAATTTGTTCGCCTCATTTCAGCTATCTACATAAACCATAGGTTTATTGCAATTAGAAGCTCTGAATACTTGAATTGTCAAAAGCTTAAATATGTAAGTAGGAGCTACAAAATCACATGTAGTTTATTTAAGTATTCCGCAAATGTAAATATCTCTAGTAGCCCTTCTTAGAACTTTCTCAATTGTGCACGCTTTACCTAGATGGTTCCTTTCTAACCATAAATAGTAGATAGAATCTGCTTGTAATATAATGAAGATGTCAACTTAACTAGAAATTCTTTTATCATTTTGTATAGCCCAACTAACCATAGCATAACAACCCATAGATATTTTACACATCCTTAGGCATCATAGAACTTGAGACCAAACAATAGCAGTAAATCAACACTTAATGAAAAGGCGCTTAATCATCTCAAGTTCCTTCAACATAACACACAATCTGGTCATTTTGTACACTCCATTTCAGCTTCCTACGTAAGCGTTAAGTGTATTATAATTTGAAGCTTTGAATACTGGTACAGTCAAAAGCTTAAATCTGTAAGTAGGAGCTACAAAATCATATGTTGCTTTCGTAATTTCTCCTCATATATAAATATCTTGAACAACCCTTCTTAGAATATCCTAAACTATGCAAACTTTACCTTGATGGTTCCTTTCTAACCATAATGGAGATACAATCTATTAGTAATATAATTAATATTTCAACTTAACTGGAGCTGCTTCTAGCATTTTTTATAGCACAACTAACCTCAGCAGATCAGTCCATAAACATTCAGTATACCCTTAGTAATCATAGAAGTCGAGACCAAATGGTAGAAGTAAATTGGGACTTAAAGAAAAGGTGCTCGATTGTCTTAGGTTCCTGCTAAATAACATGCAATCAGGTCACAATCTGGTCAGTTTGTTGCCCCACATCAGCCATCTACGTAAGCCTTAAGTGTATTACAATCAGAAGCTCTGAATACTTAGACTATAAAATGCTTAAATCTGAAAGTAGGAGCTACAAAATCGCATGTAGGTTCTGTAATTTCTTCTCGAACATGAATATCTTGAGCAACCCTTCTTAAAATAATCTTTACTTTGCAAGCTTTAACTTGATGGTTCCTTTATAACAATAAATGGTAGACACAATATGTTAGTATAATATAATTAAGATTTCAGCTTAACTGGAACTTCTTCTAGCCTTTTGTCTAGCGAAGATAACCTGATCAGACCAGCCCATAGACATTTGGGAATCCCTTAGGCATCTTATAAAAGTTGAGACTAAATGATACTATTAAATTGTCACTTAAAGAAAAGGTACTTCAACGTTCTCAGGTTCATGCTACATAACACATAATATGACCAGTTTGTGCACCCCATTTGAGTTGTCTATGTAAGCCATAACTTTATTGCTAACCATGACATATAAGCCAGTTAGGACATCCAAGATTGTTATAGATAAGTTTCCTCCATGGAACCTTTGGAAAGATTCCATCTCATTCTCATGTAAATAGATTCGATAGAGAAGTTCTCAACATGCATCACCTACTCATAAGTAAATGTAGTAGCAATAAAGTAATCCTTAGCCTCTAGAATCATATAACAATCCATTAAGCTTGTCTCGGGGTGATATTCCATATATTCTTATCTTTGATGTTGTAAGCATGGATATATTGTATCTATAGCCCATCCATCTTTAAATAGAACTTCCATAGAATTTTATTTACAAAAGCTAAATGTTTTTAATATTGTTCTTTGTTTATTCTATGCATCGTTTACGTGCACAATTTTGTATATTAGCATCACTTGGGAAGACATTATTTAATGGAAGCCTTCTAACATTCCCATGTGTGTTGAGCTAACTCATTATTGGGATATAATTAGTATCAATTTTCTGTTTGATGATTTTAATTGTTAAAATGACATCTTTTGAGATATGCAACTACATATTGAATAATTCCACCGCTTTTTACTAACATATTTTTAGTTCTTACAGTAATTGTTGAAAGAAAGAATATCTTCAACTTTATAGACAATCTTAGAAATAAAAAGTGTATGTATTGTGATAGAGTTAGTAAAGAATACTTGGATGGTGTGAAGGATTTTATAAATCATGCCTTTCCTGGAAAAAAAGATGCAGACAAAATTGCATTTCCCTGTACAGAATGTGTGCTTTTTCATCAAGTAAATCGGGATACAACATATGATCATCTTGTGGTTAATGGAATTTCGCTATCATATGATACTTGGTTTTGTCACGGAGAGTCTCTAAATAGATCAAACAATACTCAAGTAACTAATTGTAGCCAGTCAACTTTACGAGGCGATGATATGAGAGGAATGATACATGACGCCCTTGGAGGTTGTACATAATTCATCGATATTGATGTCAATGAAACGATCGAGATAGAGCCAAACCTACTAGAAAATAATACTACCACTTCTGGCAATCAAACACATCCAGAGATTAATAAATTTTAACGACTCATGAAGGAGGCAAAAGACATATACCAAAGTTACCAAATAACATAGAGCACACCTCTTTCTGTTGCTATCATTCTCTGGCCACCTGCCTGTTTTTATTGGTTTTGTTGGTATAATTTCATCTATAGGTTTTGTTGGTATTGTTGCAGCCTTAGTAGTCTGATTACTGAAGCTACTTTGTGTACTGATTTTCTCCTCAGATGTATTAACTTTATATTGCTATCATTCTTTGGCCTACTGCCGCAGAAGGATAGAGCAACACGGTGATGAAACCTAGCAAAGGGCGGATCGCCGAGTTGATCGGCGATCTCGACTAATGGTGCCGAATGATCCGCTGCAACACAAATTTTTGAAAACTATAAATACTCGTTGAGAGTTGTAGCTTAATATGAGATTTTTAATATAGAATTTTTGACATTGACTTTTGAGTTCTAAGTTTGGAGAGGGTTTTGAAGAACTTAAAGATTCAAAGGGTTTCAACTCCAAGAATTTGGACTTGGGTCTTGTGGATTCTTCACTCTTGGCTAGTTTTGAGACTTAAATCTTCATACCCATTTGAATGAAAACTCATATTGGTATAAATTTCTATCTCTTTTACATGTCTAGCTAAAACCCCAATTCTTGGGGTGTGATTTTGTGAATACGGGTTAAATTATCTGTTGGGTCTTGCTTGTTGATGATTTATTTGTTGTTTAGATGTTATTTCGTTTAGTAGTTGTGGTGGAACTTAATGAAATTGTAGTTGGAAATATGATTTCACCTTTGTGTTTTCGGTTTGCGAGAGAGAGAGAGGTCGTAAACCTAAGACTACTAAATTGATGGCCGGTGGGATTGGGTCGACATGAGGTTCAACTCGAGAGAGTGAACCCTAGTCCTTCTCCCACACACTCAGCTCGAGTGAGTGAGTGGGCTAAGGTGGAGGTTGTTCTTCATGCGGCAAGTAGGTGTCCGAGAGGAACCCATTTGATTCGGGGTAAGTTGCTCGAGAGAGAATTTACCCCCACTATAGTCTAGCCTAGTCACAAATATTCAACGAATTTATTATCAAAAGCATGTACCCAATAGTTTAGTTTTTCCCGTATTTCTATCACATCCCAAGAACCCCATCTCCTTTGATTAGTACTCTTTGCATTTTTGCTGTTTTTCTGTTTACTTGTGAAAAAACCCCATTGATAATTGACACTTGCGTCACCCCTTAGATTTAACATGTTTATATTCGAAAATGTTTTTAGCTAGGACTAATTAGAACAAAAATTTATTTTTCTATTAATTCTCAATCCCACTCCCTTTGGACTCGACCCCAACCCTTGGTTGGGTTACTTTAGTATTGTACAATCGTAGACACGCATTGGAAGTTGTGTCTTAATTACGCAAACATCACCGTTGCCGAGGACTTTCAATTCAGAAGTGTTTTACTAGCTTTTATTCTAAGTGTAGTTAGATTATCTAATTTTATGTCTTATTCTTTGTCTGTGTCTCTTACAGGTGAGTTCGACTGTGTATGCCAAATACCAAAAGTAAGGGAGCCCCATTAGTCCCATACGATCCATAACTTCGGAAAACAATTCGCAAAATGGTGAACGCACAAGAACTTGAGGTGCAGAGACAAAGATTTGGATTGGAAGCTGAAACCGTCGCAAAAGGTATTCAGCCGAATGTTGTGAACAACCAACCTAGGGCAGTGGATGAAAACATAGCAGTAGATGAAATCATTCCTCTCCACCGCCAACCAATAGCTCCAAGGAGTAGACCACAACCTCCAGCTCACATGATGTATGAAGAGGATGACTTAGATTTTGATGGAGCTGGAGCTACTAGAGTGATAGTGTTACCTGCACTACCTCCAGGTGTTAAATTCAGAATCACCAACACTATGATTCAACTGCTGAATCTGAAAGGTATGTTTAGAGGAACAGCGGGTGATGATGCTAACCAGCATCTGATGAATTTTGTGGCTATATGCAAGTCGCAAGAAATTCCTGGAGTTAGCCAGACAACAATGAGACTGAGAATGTTCCCATTGTGTCTTACTTGAGAGGCAACAAATTGGCTGAATGAGATGCCCAATGACTCAATTAGGACTTGGACCGAACTGAAGGAAGCTTTCGTGGAACGATTCTTTCTAGAATCAAAAGAGCTACAAATGAAAGACGAGATAAGTGCCCATAAGCAGCTACCCAGAGAAGCAATGTATTACACCTGGTGGAGATTCAGCCAAAAGCTGAAGAAGTGACCAAACCATGGTCTCACTGAGAGACATCTAAAACAGGCATTTTACATATCTTTAAATTATGTTACTAAACCTGTTGCTGATGCAGTGTGTGGAGGATTTTTATAAGGAAGCCATTCTCAGAGAGCATGCAACTGATGGATGAGGTTTCAAAGAATAAAAAGGCATGGTACACCAGGGATGCAGAAGTAGGAGATCTTGGGTATACTTATGAACTTTCAGCTGAACAAAGGAAGAGAGAAGAAGAAAGGGATCAGGACATAGCACACATGAGGACCCAAATAGATCTACTCACGAAGCATATTGTCTCCAAGTCTGAAAAAGTAAATGTCGTGGGACAGTCAAACATATATGAAGATCAGGACATCAATCTAGATGAAGAGGCTAATTACCTGGGCAACCAAGGAGGTTTCCAAAATTATTACTCGGGCAACCAGGGTTACAATTCTGGAAATGCAGGTTGGAACTATTCAATGGAAGGACAGTATGAAAGGCCAGCAAATAGAGAGCAGGAAACTGGCAGAACAGAGATGTGTACAGAAATTATTGAAGTGGTGTCTATGTGCTCCCAGGTAATAGAGACCAGGCAAGTGGTAGTTCCAGCGGGTCTAAGTTGGAAGACATGTTGGCCAAGGTGCTCCAAAAGGTTAAATCAACTGATGCAGGGGTAAAGGAGATGAAAGGTGATTTCTCCAGTATGATTCAGCTGGTAGATTCTCACACCACCTCCATCAAGCAGATTGAGCAGCAGTTGGGGTAACTTTCAGGTTTATTAAATCAGAGGAAGAATGGGTCATTACCAAGTGACACGATCCAAAATCCCAAGAAGGATGGGCATTTTGTGGCTATCGCCACCAGGAGTGGTAAGGTTCTTACTGACCCTATTTTTGCAGGTACTAAACATGAGCATGTGTTGGAGAAAGTTGGAAGAGAGGGGGATGAAGCTGAACAAGTAGATGACTTGGAGTATGCTCAACCAATAGCCAAACCGGCAGGAGCAAAAGAAAAAGAGGTTGAGGGAACCATGCCTTTACAGCAGATCCCAAGACCACATCTTCCTTTCCCTCAAACGCTTAAAAAGAAAGCCGAAGATGGGAAATTTGTGAAGTTTATCACCATGTTGCGACAGCTGTCAGTAAACATCCCACTGGTGGAAGCACTACAGCAAATGTCGGGATATGCCAAGTTCATGAAGGACTTGGTCACAAAGAAAAGAGCTGTAAGTATTGATTTAACTGACAATGTTCATCACTGCAGTGCTTTTGCTACCAGGTCTCTGGTACAGAAGAAGGAGGATCTGGATGCATTCACCATACCGTGAATCATCGGATCAATCGAATATGCAAAGGCCTTGTGTGACTTAGGGGCCAGTATAAACTTGATGCCGCTGGCCATCTACAAGCAATTAGGATTAGGAGTTCCAAAACCCACAGCTATGAGATTGATGATGGCAGATAGGTCAGTGAAGCAACCTATGGGCTTCATATGTGATGTTCTCATAAAGGTGGACACATTCATCTTTCTGGCAGACTTCGTGATCTTGGATTGCGAAGTAGATTTTGAGGTTCCCATTAATTTGGGAAGACCATTTTTGGCCACGGGACGAGCATTGGTAGATGTTGAGTGAGGAGAACTGAAATTCAGACTCAACAAAGAAAAGGTAAAGTTTAATCTTTGCAGGTCCATGAAGTAGCCACATGACATGAATGTGGTTTCTGCAATAGAGGTCTTTGATGAAGAATAAATGGGAGAAACTATTGAAGAGAGGCTAGATGTTGAGACCTTAGCCGCAGTGCTGATGAATTTTAAAGCTGATTTTCGGTCTGACTATGTAGAGACCGTGAATGCTTTGCAGGGTATGAGAGCACACCCTAATGCTCCAAAGAAATTGGACCTGTACTTGAAAAACAGGCCAAGTCCTCCAGCAAAACCATCCATTGAGGAGCCACCGGTACTGGAACTGAAACAGTTACCCATTCACCTGAGATATCTAATTTTGGGAGCTAACAACACTTTACCTATGATTTAGGCTGTAGATTTGAATAATGAACAGGTTTAAGCTGTGATCAAAGTGTTGATTAGGTACAAAAGGGCCATTGGGTGGACCTTTGCTGATATCATCGGGATACCTCCAGGTATATGCACCCATAAGATTCAACTTGAGGAGGACTGCAGCCCAAGCATTGAACACCAGCGGATGCTAAACCCACCTATGCAAGAGGTGGTCAAAAAGAAGATCATCAAATGGTTAGACGCTGGGGTGGTGTACCCTATTTCTGACCGTCACTGGGTCAGTCCAGTGCAATGTGTGCCCAAAAAGGGCGGTATGACTATGGTTGCAAATGAGAAGAATGAGTTGGTCCTGCAGAGGCCAGTCACCGGATGGCGAGTGTGCATGGATTACAGGAAGCTGAACAAGTGGACCTTGAAAGATCATGTACTGATGCCTTTCATGGACCAGATGTTTGATAGGTTGGGTGGCAAAGTGTGGTACTGCTTTTTAGATGGATACTCTGGCTACAAATAGATATCAATTGCTCCTGAAGATCAGGAAAAGACAACCTTTACATTTCCTTATGGAACCTTTGCATTTAAACGCATGCCATTTGGAATATGTAATGCACCACCAACTTTCCAGAGGTGTATGATGTCTATCTTCTCAGACATGGTGGAGAAAACTCTAGAAGGCTTCATGGATGACTTTTCAGTAGTAGGTGATACCTTTAATAATTGTTTGCTTAATATTAGCAGGGCCTACAGAGATGCGAGGAGGCCAACCTAGTGTTGAACTGGGAGAAGTGTCATTTCATGGTCAAGAAAGGCATAGTCCTTGGCATAAGGTGTCACAAAAGGGGATAGAGGTCGACAAGGCCAAAATTGAGGTGATTGAAAAGTTGCCTCCACCTATTTGTGTGAAGGATGTTCGGAGTTTCTTAGGACATGCCAGATTTTATAGGCATTTCATCAAGGACTTCTCCAAAATTGCACACCCCATGTGCAAGCTTTTGGAGAAGGAGGTGAAATTCATTTTTGATGAGGCATGTCTTAGAGCTTTTGAATGCCTGAAGGAGAAGTTTATTTGTGCACCAGTGATCATTGGCCCTGATTGGGCTGAGCCGTTTGAGGTAATGTGCGATGCTAGTGGTATTGATTTAGGAATTGTGTTGGGGAAGAAGCACAACAAGATGTTTCATCTGATTTAGTATGCTAGTAAGTCACTGAATGGAGCACAGTGAAATTACATAGTTACTGAACAGGAACTACTGGCTGTGGTGTATGCTTTTGAGAAGTTCAGAGCTTACTTGCTGGGAACTAGAGTGATAGTCCATACAGATCATGCAGCTCTGAGGTACCTCATGGCAAATAAAGATGCCAAACCAAGGTTAATCAAATGGGTATTACTTTTTCAAGAGTTTGATTTCGAGGTCAAGGATAGGAAAGGTTGTGAGAACCAGGTGGTTGATCACCTGTCTAGGTTAGAGGCTGAAAAGAAAGAGGAGTGTGAACTAGAAATCAATGATGCATTCCCGAATGAGTAGGTATTGGCTGCAACTCTTGATCTTATCCCTTGGTTTGCTGATTTTCTAACTTTCTTGTTAGTGATTTGATGCTTGAGGGGCTGACATTTCAGTAAAGGAAGAGGTTCCTGCATGATGTGGGTAAGTATTTTTGGGATGAACCTTATCTGTACAGGGTGTGTGCTGATAACATCATCAGGCGATGTATCCTTGAAGCCTAGATGTTGCATATCCTAGAAGCATGTCACTCCTCCCCGATAGGTGGTCATCATGAAGGTGCTTGGACATCCCACAAGATACTTCAGTGTGGGTATTATTGGCCCACAATTCATCAGGATGCGATGGACGTAGTAAGGAGTTGTGATGTGTGCCAGCGACAAGGAGCCATCTCTCGGCGCCATGAGTTACCTATGACACCTATTCTGGAGGTGGAGTTGTTTGATGTGTGGGGAATTGATTTCACGGGGACATTTGTGAGCTTCTATGGGCAGAAGTACATATTGGTTGCAGTGGACTATGTGTCCAAATGGGTTGAGGCAGTTGCTTTGCCCGAGAATGATGGCAAGAGTGTTGCTGGTTTTCTGAAGAAGAATATCTTCTCAAAGTTCGGCACACCAAAGCTATCATTAGTGATGGTGGGTCTCATTTCTGCAACAAGGTATTCAGTTATGTTCTGGCCAAATATGGTGTTAAACAGCACAAGGTGGCAACACCTTATCACCCACAGACTAGTGGCCAAATGGAAATCTCCAACAGAGAAATTAAAGCAATTCTGGCTAAAACAATGAATGTCAACATGACAGATTGGGCACGAACGTTAGATGATGCTCTATATATTGGACATCTTTCAAGACACCTATTGGTATGTCTCCATATCAATTGGTGTTTGGAAAGGCATGTCATTTGCCGGTTGAGCTTGAGCATAAAGCACTCTGTGCACTAAAGAAGCTGAATCTCAATTGGAGCGAAATAGAAAACCTGAGACTGGATCAAATTAATGAGATGGATGAGTTGCATTTGAGAGTGTATGAGAGGTATGCACTGTATAAGGAGAGGATGAAGTTGTATCATGATAAGCATATTGAAATGAGAACCTTCACTCCTAGTGACTTAGTGTTACTTTTCAACTCCAGACTTCGTCTATTTCCGGGAAAATTGAGATCTAAATGGTTATGACCTTTTAAGGTTACTTAGGTATTCCAGTCGGGTGAGATTGTGCTTGAAAATGACAAAGGCGAGAGGTTCGAAGCGAATGGCCAACAAATCAAGGCATACTTGGGTGTTCCAGAAGATGTGAAGATCGTGGAGGAATGTAAACTTGATGCAGACTGAGTAATCAAGTAACCTGCGTCGTGCCACAACGTTAAATTGTATGCTACTTGGGAGGCAACCCAAGATGTAATTGTATTAGGTATTTCCTTTTTTTTTTAGATTCGCTGTGTGTTGATGTGTGTAGGAATAATTGGACTAAGAGTTGCAGAACTGGGTGTAGACTACTCTTCATGGGCAGTCTCACGGACTATGGTGCCCTTCACGGGCAACTTCACGGTCCATCACAACCACTTACAGGATATCGAGGCTATTGGAAATTGCCATAAAAAGGTTCACGGAAGGGTTCACGGTCCGTCGTAGTTTGTACGGACCGTCTAGCCTCTCATGAACCTTAGGTGAGAACTCTAGTTCAAAGTCATGTTCACAGATATTTTCACGGACCGTAATGCCCTTCACGAGCAACTTCACGGTCCGTCGTTCACAACCCAGTAGTAACAGTGAACTGACCCGACCTGTGCGTGTACCAAAGTTGAAATTAAATGTATATTTTCTTCCTAAGTGCCAAAGGTAAGATTTTTCTCCCTCTTCTTCTTCCTATAACGGTTCTTCAAGAGTTAAAAAATGGTTCCCATCATCCATTAATCCTTAGTTTATCCAAGAATCGAAGCCCTAAACCTACGTTGTCAAGAACTTCAAGCCAAGTCCACTGAGTCTTCTTTTTGAGCGAAATTCTCTTCTAAATCTCTAAATAAGTCACTTCATAACTTGTTATAAGTTTGATCTTGTTTAAAAACAAGTTAGATTTACTTCCCTTTAGTTGAAATTAGCATGATCATATGAGAAATAATATGGATTAGTGTGAAATTATTGTGGGTTAGATTGAATTGTATAACATTAATGGTTTTTGTGTGGGTATGATTAGGGTATAGGTGTGTTTGATGAATATTGTTCTTTATAGCATCTTGCTTGTTGAAATTCAGTAGTGATAGTAAGTCACTTGTGGTCATGTGTAAAAAAATGGGGTAACCTGTACTATGGTGAAGTTGAGGGAGAAACTGATGGAATGAATGGTTAAGTGTCAGATCACGAGAGGCTTCACGGACCGTGGAAGCCACCACGATCCGTGAAACCACTCGTGGACCACACTTCAATTACATCCACCTAATAAATAGGTTCACGAGTATGATTACGGACCGTGGTTCACTCCACGGGCCGTGAAACTGTTGGTGAACAACACTTGGTCAACCCACTGTTGCACATTGACTTTGTAAGAACTCCACAAGAAGTTTTATGGACCGTGGTACCTACCATGGCTCGTGTGAGCTCTCATACAGTTTACTTGGTGTGTAAAGTTTTATTTTTTCTGTACTTTTATTTCTGTCATCTTTCGATTCTGTGGCCCTTCCCAATGATAGATTGGGTGATGACATTCTTAAGGCAAGGCGTCACGATGTAATTACATAGGGGAAGTATGAGTACTCGATAGTGTGTCATTTTACTGATTTTTGTACTAATGAGTGTTGTGTTTCTCAGGTACTATGCCTCCCCGATGAAAGAACGCGACCAAACATTCCTCCCCTGCTGCATCTCAATCGAAAGGCCATAATGCTTCTGAATCTAGTAGTTCGGAAGTACAAATGAATATTACACTTGACGATCATCCACCTCGGGCTACTAGATCCACAGTAGCTAGGGCTATCCTCCGGGACATTCCTCCCCAGTCTGAAGAGGGAGGTAGTAGTTCCGGTAGCAGGGAGGAATCGGAAAGTAAATGTGATGCTGCTTCGGGAAGCCAGTAGGATGATGGGTCGGGAGGTAGTGAAGAGTCTGAAAGCGGCTCTCAGGAAGATGCTACTACTTCTCCACCTGCAGTAATACCAGATGATAACATGGGAGCTCAGACAAAGACAGGTGCAGCAGAGGGGGGTGATGAGGTGACTCCAGACGATATAATGGTCCAGTATGTGAGGATCCGTGAATTTGACCCAGTAGTGCGACATCAATTTATTCACTATTTCAGAGTTATGTGAATGGTGAACATATCGGAAGATTTCTTTGAAAAGGGAATTGTAAGCAAGTCAGGGGGATTTAGAAAGACACCACTCATGCCCGAGACTAGGGTAGTGATGGCAAACATCCAGGCATTTCCAGAGATTTACAGACTGTTCCAAATTCACCAGTTTGAATGGATGACCAATGCTCCTGGGGAATACACCAGCCATCTAACTCAAGAGTTCTATGCTATCTACGCCACCACCTTAATGAACTGCTGCGGAAACTGAAACAACAAAGAGAGCACAAAAGACACTTGCAGCCACATTTGCTCATTTAGACACAATCACTATTCAGGGTAAGACTGTGAACATCTTCGAGGAAACGATTAATCGGATGTTACATGGCCCTGAGTATACAACACCAGCTTCTATGGGACTATTTGAGGGCAAACACACGTTGTCACGAGTGAATCAGAGATGGAGGATCCTACTTCACGAGAGCGCATCATGCGTTGGATTGCCAGGTACATTGCTACAGACAGAGAAGCAGTAGCATGGATGTCTGATCCAAATGTACAGATTAAGAAAACATCCCTTACTTTTCCAGCCAAGATCTGGTGGTCAATAGTTCTAGCACGGCTGCGATCCACATCAAATGATAATACACTATCTCCATCACTAGCATCATTGGTTGCATGCCTCATGGCCGGGTACTTTGTGAATGCGGGTCGGATCATCACCACGGAGATGCGAGATAGAGCGCTGAATGAGCGAGCAGGTTTGTCGTTTCCCTTTCTGATAGGGAAGCTTTGTTTGCAGGCGAACATTCCTCCAAATAAGTTGGTGGAAAAACCGATGGAGGCATCTAAGATAACTGCAGCTTCAAAAATTCAGGATGTCAACAATCCTCTTTATGGGAGGAAATCAGGTACAGCGGGACCATTAGCGGTAGTACCTCATACACCGCTAGTCATCCCACAGGTTGCAGACCAAACTGAGCAGGGTGAGACATCACAGCCAGCTTCGAGGGCACCATCATCGTCACCAGCTTCAAACCACCAAGCAACAGGTACTTATATCACTCTCCCAACTACTTTTCTTGAGAAGTTGGTTACAGATCAGTAGCGGACGACCTTGGTTGACCAAATCATCCACCGGATGCCCCAGTTTATAAAGCACAATATGTTAGCTGTGGAGAAGAGTATTAAAGATAAAATGAGGAAGGATCTTGCTATTTTGAAGAACATGATGGATGGCTTTGAGGCACATGTACAAACACAGTTGCAGGCTGCCAGCTCTAGAAATAATGAAGAGTTCAAGAAGCAGTTAACCGAGATGCAACCCCAAGTTACTAAACTAGCTGAAAAGCCAGTACAGGTGCCCACTCCAGTCATGTCGGAGTCATTAATGAAGATATTCGATGAACAGCCTACTACTCAGTGTCTTGACGATATCTGGGGGAACTCCCTAAGAGTAAGTCCTGCAAGAGGAAATACATAGCCGAAGAATCTGGTGATAAGATACCTGCTGACCTATCCAGAGAGGCAACAAGGCATAAAAATAAAGCCCGAAAAGCATCAAGGAAGGAAGCTAGAGAAAAAGAAGCACTTGAACAACAACAGCGAGATGCCGTGTTAGCTGGAGCTTCTAGTAGCGGAGTACCTTTCCCGGTGAGTGGTAGCCATCCTGATCCTGAGTTGGTGTCTGAGAGTGCACCCGTTGATAAGGGTGCCGACACTGATCCGACTACCAGTGCCTCAGGTATGACCCCTCCTGATAGCCCTGTTTTATTCGTTGTTATTGACTTTGAGGGAAAAGTCTTTTTGTTTAGGGAGGGGGTGGTGAACAATCTGCCATTCTAGTTGTTAGAATGATGGAGTTTGACTATGCTTTTACTGTGAAAATTGTTATGGTCCTGTGTTTGTGTTGGAGTGTTGAGCTATGCAGTAGCTAGTTTGTGTGTAATGATTACCTTGATCTAAGATTTGACTGTTAGAATCTTTAGATGACATCTTAGATACTTACATGTTGAAAATTGCTAGTCTGATAAATAAATTGGTGAACCAAGAAGCTGGAGAATGTAGTCATGTGTCATGTGTGTGTGAGAGTGTTGTTTGAAGTCTAACACTAGGAGCATAAACTAGAACTTGCCCGAGTAGTCTTGCTTGAATCTAAGAATAACCGAATAGGAAAAGATCAGTAGGCCATTTTTGTTAAGCCATTAAAAAGCCAAAAATAAAACAACCAAATAAAAGCTTATCACTTGAACCCGATTTGAGCCTAAAAGTCAGTTTTTGTTCTTACCCAGTAAATATCATATCCTTTGGTTTTCAAAGATGCGATATCACAACTCAGGCCAAAAGCCTAAGTTGAGGGTGATGCAATCCGAGCAGAAAGAAGAAGTGAAAAAGAAGGTTCAACCAGTGAGCTAAGTGCATATAAAAAAAAGAAGTGTGAAGAAAGAAAAGAAAAAGAAAATAATGGCTGCTGGGATGTACTGAAATGAAGTAAAAGAGGGAATCACTCATAAAAGAGTTGTGTGCAAACGAAATTTTGGATAACCAAGGGACTAGTCACTCACAAATCCAAATATTCATTCCCTATCCTGAGACTATGTTACAAACCGATAAAGTCCTACAGTGATCCTATTCCGGGTGTTTGAAAGATATAGCATAGAAAGCAAGGGCAAGCCTATGGTAGTTTATTGTTAGTGTTAGAAGTTCTTTGAAAGTGTGAGTGTAGTACTTAGTCCCAATTATCATGAGCAAGGGACTTCTTTGGTGTGAGGACATAGTGATTGCATTTGAGAGTAGATTGTGTTAGCTGCTAATTCACAGCATAGGCATGATCGACTGTGAGTAATGAGATGTCATAGATTGAACCTTGCATGTTAGATTCATGGTTTTAGATACAAATTGTGTTTAAGATGGCTGTTGTGTGGTTTCAAAAGTGTTTGAATAACTTGAGGGCTGAACATATTGTTTTTTTCATCACTTGAGGACAAGTAATGGTTCTAAGTTGAGGGTATTGATGTGCCGCAAAATCTTGGCACATTTGATGCTTGAA